TTATGTTTTATGAATCATGCATTTTTTGATAATTTTTTGCTGATTTATTGAATAAGTCCATGTGGTGATATATTTACAGTATATATATTTTTGCTTGGTGCTTTGTAGATATAACCATTACACACTGGTTGAGATATCTGCCGTGAATGTATATTTGATTTGGGGAGCATTGCACTATATTTTTTCTTTTTTTTATTATTTTGAGTGATGACTTTGATGTGATGAATGCACTTTTTCAGTGGTAGTTGCTCCAAGGTAATGCGTATTGTATGTAGTTTTGTTTTTTTCACTTGTACACTTGGTGGACTATATCAAGATTTGTTAGTAGGATGGGGAATTCCTTTTTGGTTTTTTAATTTCCTTACTTGATGAAAATGAAAACAAATGTGGGACACCACAACCAAGGGCTGGTAAATTGCAATACATTCAAATTTTTTGTTCTTGAGTTTAGACATCCTTCAAAATGTAAAAATTGTATTTAAAATGACGTTTTCAGCAAGCAAATAATCTATGTTATCTAAGGACCCAAATTAGAAACTTAGGGGGTTATTTACTGAAACTGCATGGTGCACAATCTGGTGCAGCTCTGCATAGAAACCAATCAGCTTCCAGATTTTTTTTTCAAAGCTTAATTGAACACGTTTAAGTTAGAAGGTGATTGGCTACCATGCACAGCTGCACCAAATTCTGTGTGCTCCTGGGTTAATAAATCAACCCCACAGTTTTTTTTTTTTAATTTGTATTATGAAATTTCCACATGTAATTGATTATCTCTACATCATCTCAGTGTAAAGGTCCAGTGGTAAGTGCTCAGATTGTATTGCATACAGCAATTACTGGAAGTTCCATCTGGTAGGAACACAGACATAAGAATCCATACGTAAGAAAAGCTCTTGTGTGGCCCTAGTTTAAAGTATAACTGTACATTTACTAAAATATAATTATACTTGCCCATGTGCTCAGAGGAAATGCTTCAGGAAACAAGATTCATCTTAATTCGTCATATTGGCATTAGCTGCTAGGATGTAGTACAAGTACAGATGTATAACGTTTGCTGAGTTAAGTCAAACTTTATGGATTGGTCATTTTTGAAAAAAACACAAGTTTGCTGAATTTCAGAAAAAAGCTTAGTTCAGGGTCACACAAGAGCTTTAATGTTTAAAATTAATACTAGGAAATGCTTTGTTCCTGCCAATTAGAAGATATTGTTTCACCAGTCTTGGTATTTTGATCCTCTTGCTTGGCACAATCAGAGCATTTCCTATCCGCACTGAAGTGATGCAGTAATCTTCAACCACAATCTGCATGCTGCAATTTTCAATTTAAAAGAAAACCTGGTAGGTAAATCTCTTATTTGACCCTAGCCTAAATGTGTCCATAGACATTAAATCTCAACTTAAAGTAGGAATAAAGAAGAGAAGGGTTGGAGCCTTTTGCAGGTTTCTATTGCAGCCTTTGTTCCTTTTGGGAAGATTCCCCTTCATTTCCTATTAGGACAGGAACAGGTGGCAAATCTCTCTAACACATTTTTAATACAGTGAGGAAAGAATTTCTGACAATGCTTTCTGTCTCGGGAACTACTGCATCCCTCATCTCCTGCACAGGTGTCACACGGGCAGCTAATACATTTCTGCAGAAAGAAAATAAAACCTGACAATACATTCTAATTCTTCCTCACTGTATCCAAAAAAAAATGTTTTAATGGTGTTGGGCTAAAAATTGTAGTTTGATATGGGAGCAAGAGCCAACCATCAATCTTTTTTCCTAACCATTAATGCTATTGATATAGGAGCAGAGGCAAAAGCCACAAAAATATGTTACGGGCCTAGAAATTGTAATCTCTAACTTGAAATACTCCAACCCAGTTCAATGCACTTGAAAATAACTAGGTTGTCACTAAAATTGCCCTCAAATATGAGCAGATAGAGGCTTAGGTAATCTGATTTTTTTTTGGCTAAAAATTGAAATCTGTGCCTTTTCTTATGGTGGAAGCTAGTGGAAAACTCTTGTATCATGTCAAAGTGGAGTTGATTTGCTGAAGCAGACTCAACTAGACTGTTCACCAGCAGCAAAGTAAATGTTCACTTCACAAAGTGTATGTTCTCGTTACAAAATAAATGAAGTGTACAAGATGAAGGCATGTTAACTATGAATACCCTAATCATGCATAATGGAAATAAAACCAGATTTTTGCTAGGAATTCAAAGTAACACGGGTTCTCCCCTGTTTCCTAACATTCACTTTGCTAAGCGAAAAGCCACTATCCTTTTAGCAAATCAAACCCAGTGTTGTTGAGAGAAGATCACATCAAGATCATAGCCATAGATGCACAAGAATTAAAAGTTCTCTAGTGATCCTGGCTTTCTACTGATTTTTACAGCAAATCACCTCTTGATTTTGTAAGTCTATATTTATCAGAAAGGTGAAGTGCAGAATTTTCAGTGGACAAACAAAGGATTTTAGCTATAAAAACTGTTAATTATGAGGCATACTGGCTTCACGTTATCAGATGGTTCACTCTTTATACATTAGCATAATGCTTATATCCTTGGGCTATTACAGAATTCAAGGGACACAATTCACAAACAAAATTCTATCTTGCATTTTATTCGATTCCATATCACAGAGAATAGGCTAAACTAAGACATCCATTAAGTTCAAGCCAGCAAGATAGAGTAGAAATACGAAATCTTAGTTTCAAGGCCCACAGGATTCAAGCAGGTGTTTACCCCTGCGTAGTGTCGCAGTACAAAAATATTTATCTCTTTCACCACACTACAGGCATCGGCCCAACTCTGAATTCATAATGGGCATATCTGACATTATTACTGAACATTCCTTTTATGTACAACATTTATAAATCCCTGCTTAAATAATAGACATCCTTCATTAAGCAGACTTTACATTACCCCCAAACCCTCAGAAGAAAAAAAAATAAAAAACATCTTGGACAAATGATAAAACACTCTGGAGCTAAAGGACAACTATAATTGGCCACAGATTTACCCTTCCACACTTTTTAACAGTTTAATGACTAAGAAAGATAGATTAGATAACACTTCCATGTGTGTAAAAATCTAATTTAATCCTATTGAGTGCAAATTGTATTTTTGTCATGATTTAAAGATTTTTTTTTTTTTCTAAAGTTACAGTAAATAGTGAGGAATGTATATCTGAAATCTGAAGGCAACTAATGTTTTAGGTACAAAATATTATCGGAGCCTACTTTGTTTTATCTATACAGATTTTTTTTTGTAGAAAATAAAATGTCTATTACTTTAACGCCAGGAGGCTATTTTAATCAAAGGAGTACGTTTTACTTCATTGCAATGAAAATGCTTTAAAAATCCAGTTAATTTTCTTTTTTTCTGTTTTTTTTTTTTTTTAGTGCCTGCACCTTATTGAATGTTTCAGATTCTGCAGACCAAAGTAAGAATGACTCCTTTGGTAAAACTCCCCTGTAGTGTTTGATGCCCCCTCTATAGACTTTTGTTTAATACATAAAAATGAGGTAGCACTTACAACATTTTCTGTTCCCATTTCTACCATGCTGTAATGTAAAACCTTTTTGAGGTTACTCCATAAGATAATGTAAAAATATGATGGTATGAACAATTATTGTTAAATATAAAGAGGCTGCATTTGTTCTTTACTAATATTGACTATTGAAGTGCTACTTCTGTTAACAATATAAAAGGCAAACAGACACAAATACTCAAAATGCTTTTAAAATTGATTTTCAAGTAGGCTTCAATGTCTGTTTTCAGTCTTGGTATCACAGAAATTGAAGCACATGGGATTTAAATCTTAGCTTAGACATTTTTAGACTGCGGAATCATTGTTAAGTCAAGAACTGCTGTTCCATCCTTGCTTGTTTTTTTTTTTCTGAACCAGTTAACTTCTTCTAAAATGCTCTGTTATATAGGCAAAACCAGACTGTACTTTTCAACATAAACTGACAATAGAAATAACAATGGGGAAACTATAACACATTTTTCATTTTTTATGTATTTTACTTCATTTGCCTTTTACCAAATTAACTAATTTTAAATAGTTTACATATGTATTCTTTTTAATCCTAGACAAACTTGTACAAAACTCTAAAAGTGCAGTCATATAAATTAAGAGTTTGCAAGCACATTATACAAACATTACCCTTTATTGTACAGTGAAATTAACATGGAGATTTTTTTTATTCACAGTTTCCTATGGTGTGAATACTTTAGAGTGAAAAAAGTTTTTAAGTGGATTTTCAACCATTGAACTATTTCTCCACACAACATTTTCTCATTTATATTGAACAACTGTCCACATAGCAGCTACAAATATTTAAATAAAAGGATTTGTTACAGATACTCGCACAGGTAAAGCATGCTATCTTCCCAAATAAAATGTCACAATGTTGTCTGCATTGGAATAAACATCACTGGCTTATAGCAAACTTGCTAATAAAAAGGGCACAGATTTGGATGTACCTTGCTGTACAAAATTTAATTGATGGTTGGGCTTGTTTCCTTTTTGAGTACCCGCATAATGTTATTATAAATACTACTGACAAGGATACTGTAATAAACCACAGTATTTGGACGTACTAAATTGAACATTTAGTAATGAATTAGAATCTTTACAAAGGAACTTCAAGTTTATTTCTAATCTGAACAAAACCGGCAAATTTTTTGGAATCATTTTTAAATGAGTTGAATCTTTTTTTATGTAAGGAAAACATAATTGTGTAGCCTAAACCAGCTTGTTACTCAATAAATTCAGTAACGTTAAATGGGGATTAAAGTCCATTCCAGTCATTTAAAAGGTAAAAGAAAGTACCATGCACAGTCCTGCAAAGACATCTCTTCCGCAACCTCAAGGTAATGCATTTTTGGGAAGGGGACAGTATGTTTTGAATTAGGACACTGTGATAAATGTTCAAAAATCTGTACATTAAATAGTACAATTGATAAGTGGCTTAAGTCTTCCTTTTTAACTCTCCTTTGCAAGAGCATTCAGTTTATGCCAATTTCCTTGTTCTCCTCAATAAACCTTGTGAATGGTCGATTTACAATCGAGTCAGTGCCCACTTTGTCCATACTAATGAGAGGAGGGCTGCTGCCAGTACGTGCTCGGTCCATTCCACTAGACATGTTGCCTAATGGTGGGATTGCAGTTCCACCCAAGCTGACTGGGAGCTGGGGAATTCCTCCGTTCTGTATGACAGAAATCTCATTGTTTTTCATAGCCAGCCCATTTGTGATAGCAGCAGCATATTGGTTCCAAAAGCTAGGGTCAACATTCATCGCTCGAGCTGCCAAATCCTTTTGAAACATCTCGGAAAACTTCAGTGCATCTCCACCTAACAAAGCCATAGGATTTTCTACTGAAAGTCTACGGCCACGCCGTGCAGGGGCATTATTCCACATGTGAGTCCCCATATGGACCTATATATGTTAAAAATAAAGAAAGGAAAAAAACCACGTAATTAAGTATATTCAGCATAGTAATAACAATATCGTATGATATCATCTCATGTGCAGCAGACGAGTACAAAACAATCAAATTTACACAGCAGAATGCAAAAAGGTATTGTTTAGATAATTCCAAAACTAATGCCTACATGGATAGCCCTGAAATCTTCCAATTTTTTATGCCCTTAATGGGAGTGGTTTGAAAAAATAGGTAGCCTACTACACAATTATACATGCCAGTATCACCATCCGGATTTGATGTAATCCGCAAGATGATATTGCTGCTTAGAAAATGTAGCTTATCATCGTTTTACCCACTATTCAGATTTTGTCTCTATACTGTTCATTTCTTATGGAACAATATTCTGGATTACAAAAATAGGGCTGGCAATTGTTCTAAAATATCTTTGTGAGGCCTACAATTACATCTTGCAGGTGCACAAAATAATAAAGCCAAGCATTATTACATGTCTATCTACACTGCAAAACTTCATTTTCTACACAGATATATTGCAAAATGAGGGAACATACAGTAGCAGGCAGCACAAACAAAGAACATTTATGTAAAACAAAATATTTTCTCTTTTCTAAACCTTCCGAAAAAGAGCGCAAGACATGCCATGGCTTGTTCAATATCCAGATGGCCGAGGAATCGTGCCTTGTACCTAGAGGGAGTTGGCAGTGGTGATGAACTCTAAATCCCATAAATATTTCATTCACCAACAGTAAAAATAATAATTTAGCATAAACACATAAACAAGTTTATTCTAAACCTACTTCCTTCTAAATGTCTCTACCTGGAAAGGCATTTTTAGTTGAAAAATTATATTTTATAATGTTAGAATGATACAAAATATACAAAAGTTAAAAAGGCCTATGCAAAAACATATATACTGTATATTAGAACTCAACAAAATAAACAACGTAAATTTTTTATTTTTAACTGCCATATGTAAAATTTGAAAGCTCATTTTTAAAAGTCTATTTTAAGCTAAATATCCATTAAAAAACAGTAATGAGTTCAGTCAATTAGGTGCTCATAGTATGCTAAGATTCTAAACTCAAGGGGAGATTACATTTGCCAAGTATTCCTAATGAAAGGGTCTCCAAGCTACATAATGATATTGTTAGTTTCTAAATTTTTTTGAAAAGACTACAAATTGATACACAGCATAGCGCATTTGGTCTGCTTAGGCCGTTATACATTGTAGAAGTTGTGCTCTTAAGACTTTAAGAAATGGAAAGTTCAATCTTTTACACAATGGTAATCAGTTAGAAAAGACAATCCTAAATCTTGTAGCTGTAAAAGAATATATTATTGTGAGCTAAGCTTTCTATGTGAAAAAAAAATCATATTAGTGTTAGACATGCAAATTCAATATTTTAAAGCCAAGGTAAGAAAGAAAAAATATAGTTTTTATGAATTATATGGCTAAGGCAAAAGTAGCAATACAAGTATTAATATAAAAATTAGGGCAAACAAAAAGGTTCAATAGCAAGTTTCATGCAGCTAGTATTATTGCAAACATCCTTTTAGTTATATTGAAACAAATGGTTTGCTAAATTAAATTAATTAAAAACCTTTTTAAAAAAAAACTCTTTTTTACCCTGTAAAGGCACAACTGTAAATTCTACAAACACTGGCTAATTTCACACATATACAAAAAAGGCAATGGCATAAATGATGCTAGCATTCAATTACATATTTACAATATGGAATTTGCATGTATTATAGTTATTTTTATGGAGTTTAACAGTATATTGCAAACATTAAAGCTTTATGCCATTGTCATAAAGAAACTTGCAAATAATAGAACTGACTTTTAAATATTTTCCCTACTTTCACTGCAAGTTTTAAATTTATAGTGTATAAATGTATTCACGGGGATCTAGTAAATTGAACAATTAACTAAACAGGGCTGATTTACTAAGGAAATTAAGAATTTTGACACAACACATTGTGTACATATTCACTTCAATTATCCAATCTTTTTCCCTTTTTCACTTTGAATACACAGATTTGATTGGAAAACTGAAGTGAATACTGATACAATTTATTGTGTGAAGATTCCTAACTCCTTTAGTAAATCAGCCTCCATGAAGTTGAAGATGCAGCTGCATATGGTTTACAGACTATAGTAATAATTTAAGAGCTCATCTGCAGCATGTGCATACAGTATTCTCATACATTTAAAGCATTTGGGGCACAACTAAGCTCTTTTTTTCTTGGCAGCTTTCAAAATGTTATGTCATCTGCATTATGAAATGGCAAAAACATTTGCAATTATGCAAATGCTGGCACATTCTCAATTTAACTGAGCTGACATTTTTTCCCCAAAATTCTTATTGTTTTGTTTTGTATGACTAGAGAGATGTCACCTTACCTTAAGATTCCCTTTTGTGGTAAATGCTCTACCACAGATTGTGCAACCAAATGGCTTTTCACCAGTATGAGTACGTTCATGTATCTGTAGTGCACTTGCTGAAGAGAAGGTCTTCCCACAGGAGTGACAGTTGTGTTGCTTGGGCGTTCGTCGAGGTGGGGGTGCCAGCATAGGAGTGATGCCTGGACTCATCGCTGTCTGTGGTGCAGCAGGAACCTGGATTCCGGCTGGAAGGTGGGAACCTTCACCCAGTGAGATCGGCTTGGTGTGACCATTCACTTCCATTTTGATCATGGCAGGCGCTGTGCTGGTGACCAGGCTAGTAGTGGTTTGGCTGGGACCTAGAGTAAAGTTGGGTTCAAATAACTGAGATGGGAGCTCTTTCAATTTGTGTGTCAGTAAGTGTTGTTTTAAATTACCCATAGTGGAACACCCACGACTGCAGACTGTACATATATATGGCCGTTCTTTAGTATGGCTGCGGTAGTGAATTTCCAATGCACTTTTGCAAGCAAAAGGCTTGCCACAGATATTACAAACAGTACTTTTAAACTTACCACGTTCTCTGCTCAGGAACAGCAGGCTAAAAGGAGCCTCTTCTTTGATGATTGGTCTTCCGGGATTCGTAGATGTCAGATCCAGTGCACCTTCAATTTCAGGAGCAGGTATAGGACTGTCTGGCTTTTCTGTTTTAAGTTGTAGTTCTGGAGGCTCTTCATGATTCACTGCATTTGGAGACTTTGATCTTATGCTTTCACTATGACTATGTGCAGGTGATAAAACCTGCATTGATGAAGAGGATTCAGACATTGCTGGACTGCCTGGACTCTGGCTCTCCAGATCCCCCACCGCTGATGAAGAATCATTGCTTAAATGATCACTTTCGCCAGACCCATTTTCTAAATTTTTTAAAACCAATAAACTGCTGAGTAGTCATAACAGAGTCAATCATTTTCATTTGATTTTCTAAAGCAGCAATACTTGAGATGACAGTGGGGGGTGAGGCTGGTGATGAATCAGAGAATGGCATGAGTGGTTTTGATGAATCAATCGGTGTATCTTTCATGTCCAGTTCATCTTCTATAGAATTGTCATCAAAGTCCTCATCATAATTGCTCATTGTTTCAAGATTCTTTTTTCATCGTAAGAAAGCTCAGAGTCCATTGCATCTTGGAAGCCCTCTGGTAATGGAGTGTTTGGAATCTGTCCACCCATATGCATACGGATATGTTGCTGCAAAACAACAGCATTCGTAAACTTTTTCTGACAAATGGGACATGAATGCTGAACTCTTAGTGGTGGCTTTGACCTATGAACACCAAAGTGAGTTTTTAAATTGCCTTTAGTAGTAAATGCACGTCCACAAATTTTGCATTTAAATGGTCTTTCCCCAGTATGTGTTCTGTAATGCATCTTAAGAGCACTCTGACAGCTAAGGACTCTGTGACAAATTACACACTGGTTTGGGTCTGTCATCTTCTTATCAATGTTCTCAACTAGCTGTTGCAGTTTTGATGTTTCAGATGTTTGCATAGACTCCAGAAGCCCACCAAATGGAAATTTTGCCTTGAATTGATCAGACATTGCTGGAAGCACAGGGTTGGGGAGACTTGTAGAAGTACTGGTATCTGTAAGAGCTGGGATAGATGTAGTGATAGGAGGGGATACTTGTCCAGTAACAGGCTGTTCAACTGTTCTTGCAGCAATAGGGGGTAAAACAACAGGTTCAGTTTTTGTGACAGCAGTAGTTACTGTCTGAGCCAACTGTTGAGATTCAGAAGATGTAACCATGCAGGGCTCAGGAGGATTTATATTTGGTGACAAGGAGTTGCATTCGCTAGAAGTGGGAGAGGGCCTTTGGGGTGATCTGTTCATTGGGGTAATGCTTGGTGAATCAATATAGCTGTTAACACCTGGAATTGTGGGAGGAAGCTGCAACCCAATTGATGTTGATATTGTTGGTAATACAGGTTTACTATCTAACCATGTTGTGACTGGTTTTTCAGGAGGAAGAGACATTCCATACGGTATTCCAGAACTAGTTGGGACATTGTCAAGGTATTCTGGAACAGGGTATGGATTCATTTGAATATGGGGGTATTTTTCTTTATGCCTTTGGAAATGAACTTTTAGATTTCCTTTTGTGGAAAAGCGGTTTCCACATATATTACATTTAAATGGCCTTTCACCTGTATGAGAGCGCAGGTGAATTTGTAAAGCACTATCACTTCCAAAGACCTTGGCACAAAACCGACATTTATGTTTAAAAAAAGGGTCTTCAGAGGTTGATTTTGTCTCAAATACTGATACGTTTGGTGGCTTTCCCTTACGATGTTTCATGAGTGCAGAAAGTGGGTCTAAAGCATTAGCTGTTGCAGCTATGCTTACAAGTGGATTGGGGAAAATCACACTATTTGAGGAGCTCTGAGGTAGAAGTGGGCTTGGCAAACTTGAAGGTGAGGTTAGGATGCTTCCATGTCCAATAGATGGTGGGGTTGAGGAACTCTGTGAATGAGATGAGCTAGTTGTGGTATTTGGGACAGGGCTAGGGGTTACAGATGTTACTTTAGCATTAGCTGATAAAGATGTGCTTGATTCAGTAGGTGTACAAGAGACAGAACATGGTATATTTGGAGTACTTGCTCCAGAGGCAGGCTGTGATGTATGTTGTGGGTTCTCAAATGATGGTACTTGATTGCTAGGTATTGATCCTGGAAGTGTGGGTGGGACTACAGGTGTTAACTGTAGGGTCGTATGTGTGGTAAAACTCTGCAGCTGATTTGGTGCTGGAATTGGAGGATTTTGTGCTGGAACTGAAGAGGTCAATGGAGGACGCAGGGTCTGACGATTCATAAGTGCCACCTGACTGCGTATTTGTTCAATGAGTTGCAGCTGGTGAATCTGTTGCTGCTGTAGTGCCATGAGTTGTTCTAGAATCATTGGAATAGCCATAGCTGTAGCTGCAGTGGCAGCACTTGTACCACCTACACACCGTGCATTCTGTGAAAATTGTGCAACTGCTACTTTTGTACTTTGCAGAGTCTCTAATGTAACGTTAGTGTTTGGCATATTGTAATTAGTCATGGAAGCTGGATCAGTTATCTGAGGTAGAGGAGTAGCATTGTTTGAGGCTTCTTGACTTGGAAAGTTCTTTTCTTCTGGGATTTCAACCTCCATAGGTTCCTCTTCCTTTTCTATTTCTTTTAAATCACAAGTGTCATTATTTTCTACCTGAACTGCTTCATCTGCAGCCTCACTCTCTGCGTGATCACTTTGAGAGCTTGCAGGAGAGGGCTCAGGAAATTCTTCTGAAGCTGTTGCTGCTATATCATCATTTACAATTAACACAAGAGGGTTTTTGGTGCAGGTCTTCTTGTGCTCTAAAAAGTCAGACCATTTGAAGAATTCAGCACAACATTTTTCACAAACGTTGGTCTCCTCGCTTCCACTTCGACTTTCATTCCCGCTATCACCATCATCTGGTCCTTCCCCAGGTACTGCTAAAAGTAAATGAAAAGATTGCGTAAGCTATTAAGCTGAAAGATAAACCATTCTACATCTGAAAATTTTGCACAAGTAAAATCAATATTTTTTATTTTGTACAAATTACCCCACTTCAACAATTTTCAAGCCCTGTGTTAGAGTCCCCATACCTTGCTAATAATTTTCTTTGCCCAATCCATCAAATTATGAAGCTCTATCAATTGTGGATACTGCTTCTTAATGAAATTCCATAGAAGGCATTGATTTCCAATATTTTCATACACAGCAACCTTGTCTGTTGGGTACAAATCAAGCTTTTGATGGGCTCATTAGGATTCCCCTTTAGCATCAAGCTTCCTAATTTCCAGCAAAATTAGAGATGCCTTTGCCAGTTCAGTTAACATTGCTAAACTAATCTGTAACCTTTCAAACCTGAAGCAGTACCTGACAACACAAACTGAACCTCTGTTACTCAAATGTGGTCTTTGACTACACAGATGTATAATCTTTATACTACATTGAAACACATCAGATTCTAACTAATTCTTTATAACTACTGCATCGATAGCAATATGTTTTACAGTTAGGTGACATGAATGCCGAAATAATATTCCAACAAAACTTAAGTCCAAGAACTGGCTGGAGATAAACCCTTCCCTACCTGCTGGTGAGATGGGTCACGTGTTAAGGTCAATTGTGTTCTTCAGTATTTAATGTAACAACACTATAAGGTCTTAATGACAAAGACTTTGCCCTAGAATTGGTACTTTGACAGACATTTTACTAAATATATGCAAAGTTCTAGGTAAGTATTGTCGTTTCATAACAAGAAAACAAGACAGTTTACTGCTAGTCCTCTTCAAAAATAATTGATGCTGTCAAATGCCATATTTCATTACCAGAAAAGCAAAATTACATGTTATTGCAACCAAGCACTGAGTTCACAGATTTGTGAACAAGCTAAGAATTACATATTTTAAATACATTTCTGCTGACATGTTTAAACATAAGTATGCTCTAGTCAGACACACGTTTTGTACCTATTTTCATCTATTCTTATAGAAAGGCTCTGTAAATTATATGCTTGTGCCATTGTAGAAAACCCACTAATTGGTTACACATGTTTAATTACTGTTGTAGGCAGTCACTTCCTCTGACTTGCGTTACCCTCTTGTGCTGAATAACAAGCATGTTTAATGAACAGAATTCTAATTCACACCTGATCAAATAAATAGCTGTGCTGGAATGAGAAATGAACATATAAAAAACATTTCTAGTATTTTAAAAGCTACTCAGTAGGAAAGCATACATATTTCCCAGTAACTTCAATTTGCTTGTCTGCATATTACAGACAAATAAGATTTTTTGTCTGACAAAATAAAGGACAGCAGCAACAGACAGTACATGGAACAGCATGGCAGAGAGTAAGGGAGGAATCAAAGTTTTTCACACACTGTATCATAGTTATGGAAAAACATGTTATATGTAAATTATGCTTTATCCACTCCTATTATACGAACCACAATCTAAAAGAAAAATGTATATTTACTTCAATAGAATTTGGGGAAATTTATATTAAAAGAATGAATTATTATTGTATACTTGGCATACATAAAAAAGATTGCAAAGTATGTTTTTAGGTAAAATAATTAATTTTAAAATACAACAAAAATGCCTGGCCATTATGCCAGTTTTATGCTAATAATATGGTGGCATATGTAAAATAAGACATATATGTATGCCAAGTGCTTGTTCTTAACACACATATATATATACCAAATAAATAAAAATTAATTTGTGGTGAAAAATTCTAAAATAATGATTTTAATGTTGACACATAAAATTGATTTTAAACACATACAAGAGACATATAATATATATTATGTAAAATACTGTCACATCCAACTATACCCTTAGAAACTGAAAATGAATTTATAATTAGCCACAGAATGCCAAATATGAAAGATCTAAGTGAAAGTGATATTTCGTAATAAAATAAAATTGAAAAATAGCAAATGCTTATTGCAAAGGCAAAGGAATAAAAATCATTTACTGCGTGAATTTACACTGTAAACCCTAGGCAGGTTTCTTTCAGATCTGCTTATGAAGTTACATTGTGTGTAACCCTGTGAGCAGCTGTGCTGCATTTTTTAAATCAAACACACTATCATGTTCAGAATTGGTCACTCAGAATTGCCTTTTTTTACAGCAGTTTAGAAATACAAGAGGCATGTTTTTCTTCAAGTGGTTTCCTGTGGTATTGGATGAATTAACACTGCCGGACTTGTTTTGATTTTTAATGTATTCTTGTGAAACAGTAGTGTGCCGATTTACCTCTCTGTACATGCACATGAAATCCACAGCAGTGCACATCATATGCATGTAGATGCCAACTTTACAAAGCTGTGAAAGTGTACCAAAAAATTGAGTATAACCAAAAAATATTTTATGAGCTGCGTAAATTATTATTAGTTATTTAAAAAGTGAGACAATGTTTTTATAATTTAAAAAACTAAATTATTTTTTTTACAATTAGCAAACTTGTTTAATGAGCATTACACTGTACACAGAGACTATACTCTTATAGCAAAAATAAAATATGAACCCACAAATTGCTAAAATACTTTTTAATCAAGCACACACCAATAGTGCCCAGTTTTACAGGACAGACATGACATCTTGCAATGAACTTCAACTATGCTTTTTATTTACAGCTTTAGGAAAGGAACATTACGCAGAATGCCACAGCCAATACAGGTATTAAGATCAGCTGTTCTTCCCATTAAGTTAAGTAAAATTTGAGTAAGTGAGAAGTGTCATAGACACTAAAGAACACTATGTTTAGCAGGCCTGTTTAATATTTAATTGCTGCTGCTGGTCTTAATGGGTTTGCTAAATAAAAGCTGATATAGCAATATCTTATTTGAGCAGCAGGTATAGTACAGTGAAAGTATTTTTGTGTTTTTTGCGCACGCACTAAAAAGAAAAAGGAAGCTATTTGGTATTTGAGAGATCATTGCACTAACAAACAGCACAGGCCTCTCTAGTGTGGTCCAGGAAAGGAGAAAAGGCAACACACTAAAATTTCTCCTAGCCAAAGAAAATGTTTACATGGTGCTGAATTAATAAATATATTTACAATTCACTCCAGTGGGCAGATAAACTATTTCATGTTGACAGTTTTAACTCTTTAATGACAATGAGCAACAGTCTGAATTTTGCTGTCTTTATTTGATTGTGTCCTCTTGATTGTAAGCTTTTACGATTAACGAATAGTGTCTTGCTGAGAACGTTAACAATTCTGTATCTTTTCAATACTGAAAAATACCATAATTTTAATTATTACTATGAATGCTAAAAAATAGCCAATTTGCCATTAAAAATATTAGTAACGTACAATACTGTACAATTTATTTTTTTTTAATCACTTATGCATTTCTACAGATAAAAAGCATCTCTAAATTGCAGCATGAACAAAGTACATCTGACACCAATAGTGTTAATCAAAGGTATGATGTTATCATTTTTACATAAACTCTGGGACATTAGCTTACGGTGGAAAACTGCATTGATTAACGGATGATGGTGTTGTTTTATATGTTTATTTCTTTGATATTTACATTGCACTTTGCTATGTTTTACAAATTACAAAGTCAAATTACCCATAGGACTATTTGGGCACAATTGTATTTCTAGGCCCCAAAAAATACAGCTGTTAATTCACTGACTATTTTTTATTGTATTTAGTAAACTAGATATTGCTTTTCCTTCCCTGCCATAAATCAAATGAATATCATAATTAGTGTTTGCAATATAACATGTTGGTCTACACAAATCTGTCATATAAAGAAATATCCTGGAATTGTGGAGCACCGTGAGAAGCTGCAGAAATTACGCTGACTTTTAAATTCATCATGCCAGGGGTAAGTAATCAACTGTGGAAAAGCAGTAGTTTAGGTACCTGCTAACTAAATTGCTAACATATATACAAAAGGCAGCAAGGAGTGAGATCTTCTAGCAAAGCTCTATGGCTGGGCACTGCAGATTATTATTCAAAATGGCTGCATTTAAAGTGAATTCTTTAGTACATTGTAACATTAATCTACACACTGACAGACTCGGTGGAAACATGTTACTTTGTGTAATTAGAGAATTGCTGCATGTCAAAAGTGCTCTTTTGTTTGCAACAGAATGCCTTTAAACACAAAAATGTATACTTTGAAACAAATGTAGGCAAGGCAGCCAACTTTTCTTCATGCAGGTGCAATAGCAAGAGTCGACATATCACAGGTAATACTAACAGATCTGGCTAACCATATATCTAACCTAACAGCATGAACATGGAAGTCTATAGGTATAACTACACCCAATAGATCCTACTGAGGAGGCCACATTACTATTATGAGACTTTGCAATGCTCAAATCAAATGTAGGCATTAAATCAATTAAGAATAATAAGAAGACCGTATATATACATGATACACCTAGCACTCATTTTTTGCTGTGTATGAAAAAAATCATGCACACAGTTTTTAGTTGTTAAATGTTTCCTGAGAGATCTGCAGAAGTATATATCGGATATATGCAATATGACTTTGTTTCCTGAACTGGAAGTTTCTGAATTCTAGAAAACCGAGGGCATTTTGTTTTCTTGCAAATTAATTCTTTTTAACTCTTTATGATGACTGTGATTCCCATAAAAGAAGATGAATTATCACATACAGAGCCCAAGCTGTGAAACAGGAGGAGACAAATAGAGACCCCTACTGTGTTCAACAATGTAGATGAAATTCCAGACTCAATAGAAATTTTTGCCCTCTTTCAAAGACCACAATGGCTGTCAACATGACAGTGAACAGTGGAGGGCACTATTGCTATGCACAATGTTATAGACCTAGCATATTTAGATTAATCTATTCAGTGGCCTAAATCTCAGAATTTGTTAAGTAACAACCACCTGTGGCATAGTCACCAACTGTCTTCTATTTTTTTCCAACATTTGCAGTTTGTACTCATG